ATTTGTTGAATCAATGATAGGTCCAAAATTATCTCCGCGTACCATCGCTTTTTTGGTTTACATGTGTAACGTGACATGCGGAATAGATTATTACTGGCTCTAAAATCAAAAATGGGAGGCGCAGCCCAGCTACGCTCCATTCTAAGCAGCAGGCGAGTGTTTCTTAGTCTACTTTTCATAGGCCTCATAAACTTTGAAAGGAGGTGGGGTTGAACATGGCCCCGTAGAAAAAAATTTGAGACAGTTGACGTGGTTATGAATTTTAAACACTGAAGCCTTAAAGAAACGATCATTCAAAAATCAAGACACAATAGAAAATTCGTTGTCAACTTCATGATGGCATAAAACATGTATACATTTAGTTTGACATTAGTAGTATCTGTCAGAAATTTTTGTGTAAAGATCTGATGGCTGCCGTGGTTCTGCCAGCTAGAACTTCTACAAATTGCAAACAGCAAGAGAATGCCTCCTTTCGATAGCGAATAATCCTCTAATTACAACCGCAACTACTTACAATAACGAACGGTTACTACACCTTTTGAGGATCTACGACCTTTTCCACCAAGCGATTCCATGGAGATAAGAATTCGTTCTGTAATTTTCTTATAAGAGGATTTTTAAATCTGCAAGTGAGTCATCACTTACACTCTTATCTTTCTGCAATGGTGGTGGCACTATAATATCTGAAAGGAACTCAACGCAATCAAGACTGTTTTGTACACAGAGCTCTCACGTATAACAACTAATGAGCAATGCAATCTACCTGAAGCTAAAGCTACTTCACCTCCCCACGTCAGCGGCAAAATCTCAGGATTAGTTAAAAGTGCATCCAGCATGCATTGCTTAGTCTACGAGAAGCAGTAGTACTTAAATGATAATTACAAATGTTCTAAAGTACCTTTTCTTTGTCCAATAAGAATTGCCGCATGTCAGGTTTAGCAAGGTCATACAAATCTTGATGATTTGTAACTTCTTCATAGCAGTAGTTCATCGCATCATCAATGATATTGATAATCTGCAAAAGCGCTGCTTACGAAATCATTAAATTTAAAAACTGACCTCTTGCGTAGGATTCTTCATATCTTCTTTGAAAAATTGCTTTATTGCCGGTAAATCTTTTTCTTTCACGGCTTTTTCTAATATGCTGTTTCTTCTTAACTGCATCATTATCTACGAAAAAAAGTAAAGCTTGAATTTTTTGCTAACACCAACAGCCTTTCCATATGTATACCTTTCTAGCTACTTGAAATTCCTGTGATTTCTGCAGGTCATCTGTGCCGAACTACAATTAATTTTAGTCAAAATGGTTATGAATAATTCTCAACTGTCGGTCTTTAAAAAAGATAAAAAGCGCAAAAAACTATTTTCTTCTGCTTTTTTAACGTCTTGTTGGTTGACTGGAAGGTAATTATAGTGATATGATGCGTTTTTATGCAAGCTTTTTTTGGACTTGGGATAGCACAATAAAAAATTCAGACACAATGAAGAAGTTCCACATCTTTACTGCGCTCCAGCACGGTTGTCAGTCGGGCTTGCTGGGAGTAAAATTCCTCTGGAGGGCCCGAAATAACAGACAAGAAAACTGGACGTTCGTTGGAGGGGTTTTTTTTTGAAAACATTTGATTTAAAACGAAAGAAAGAAAGAACTATTTCAACTGGTTAGCACCGCTATTCGAATGCAAGCTTGTATAAAGAGTTAAGAGTAGTGCGAAAGTTACAAAAATAAACCAGACAAATGATCTTCGAA